GAGCAATTCAATATCACGATAGTGACACGGTGTTAGGGTTTAGTAACTTGGTGATGACGTCTCATCCACCTACTCCCCAGGTCTGGACACTGGTATCTGTAAGGGTCTCACCGAAATTTCGGTCAGCAGTAGCTGACATTGGTCAACAGAAGAGGTCCCATACTGCTCCACGACAGCGGCCGTCTGCATGTTTCACAAATCACTAACCGAAAATTAAACAAATTGAGTGTCGAAGTTCTGCCTCACTCACCAAACTCTCCAGACCTCTCGCCAACTGACTACCATATCTTAACTACATTGAAAAATTCACAAATAACACAGCCTTCATAACTATGAATATTACTGGAGTTTTTTTCCAACACCTCGACACGTGTTTCGATCACCAAGTGATCATCTTCAAGATGAAGATCAATGAGTTTGATCTTCCTCGTGAAGATAATCACTTGGTGATCGAAACACGTGTCGAGGTGTAGAAATAACGGTTTGAAGATGAAGATCAATGAGTTTGATCTTCCTCGTGAAGATGATCACTTGGTGATTGAAACATGTGTTGAGGTGTTAAAATAACGGTTTGGTGTTGAGAAAAACTCCAGTAATATTCATTACTACATCAAAGGTTCCAAACAGTGCATCACAAGTTCAAAACTATGTCTAACAATATAAAAAAATCGATTAAACTTGCAAAATGTAACTTTAATAAAAAAAGGATTACCAAAGCAAGTAATAGAGCTAAGAGACTTGGTTGGTCTTTTATAAATTATTTTCAAGGCGAGAAAAAATAAACAAGTAAAAATACCAGCAGATGAACTTAATAAATATTATTGTTCGATAGCCGTCACTTTGAGTAATAAATCTGACTCCTCCTATGATCGCCTCGAGATATTATTTCTTACGAGAAACTAATTTTATGCCTTACAAATGTTTGTCAATTACAGGCTATAATTGGTTCATTTAAAAACAAAACAACATTTGCAACCAACGAATTATCTATGAAAATCTTCCTGTTACTGATCTAAATGCATTGGCGAAGGCAATCGATCAAATCATTTATAAAGGATTAATTTCAAGATCAATTATAATTAGATCAAGATAATTATTGAAATACTGGTAAAAATACGTTCAACCGAACATTTGAACTTCGGTAATATAATAAGCTACAAGCAATTTGGATTTCAGTACAACAAAAATACTCGATGCCATATTTTCATTTTTATATAGTATTTATTTGTGTATAGTAACATTATTAGATGGGAGATCACAGCAGCAGTCTTTTGTGTTAATCACGAGATCCTGCTCAGAAATATGTATCTCCATGATATTGAGGGTATTACTCATAAATGGTTCGAATCTTATCTATCAGGTAGAAGTCAAAGGGTTAAATATACAACACTATCTGATCTTTCTGACATATCTAACGGAGTACCACAATGCTCAGTACTCGGATCTACCCTATTTCTGCTCTATATCAACGACTTGATTACCATCGACATGGAGGGTGAAAAATTTACTTTATTATGGACAAAACCAACACTATAATGATCTACTCTGATCTCTCAGATGTGTGTAATGCAAATTTATTAGCTTTTAATATCTCTAAAAAGTTTTATCCTTTAATTGTATTCTTGATAATATTTCTTCAGCTTCGAATGTGATTGAGAACACGCCATGCAACAAATTTTTTGAGTTATTAGTAACTGTCTATTATTCATTAGTAGAATCACATCTAAGATATGGGATGCCTTTCTGGGGATCACATAACAAATAATAAATTAAGGAATGATAAAAGCCGTTTTTCTCGACTGAATACAAATGTGTCTTTCATACTTCTCGTCGACAGAAAAGAACTGGGAAGTGAATTTGAATTTTTTCATAAGCTCGAGAATCATTTGAATACATCAAAATACAGTAATGTTATAAAAACAATACGTAGGATTGGTATAGGCGAAGATGAACTTAAAAATACAGTCGTGAGTATAGGTACAAGTTCAGCTTATGATTTAGTAGTAGGTAAACTCAGAATCTTGTTCTGGTGATCAAGTAGAAGAGGACTCTTTTTTAGAAATCAAAATTGCGGAAAAGGTAGGTACATCTCTGATGCTGTTGAACATTCAGTCAGTAAGAAATAAAGCAAATGAACTAACTCTATATATTTTTAGATACCATAAGTTCTCTAATATTGTTTTGCTAACAGAACACTGGCTGGAAATGGACACAAACCAAATTACATTACTACAGAACAGCCAGCATGGGGGCACATCGATCCTCATACACATGGATTTCATAAAAAATGTTTCACTGAATTTAAAAATTATGATTGTATGTTGGTCGAGGAGTTCGAATTTTCTTGTATATACTGTAATAATGATAATTTATTTGCCGGTATCAATCGTCATTATTCAGAAAGCTTGGACATTTTGCTAGCGCAGATTCCTCATCAAGAGACTATATTTCTCACTGGAGATTTTAATATAAATTTCAAAGACAACAATGTCAACTAAACCGTTTGAAAATCTATTAATTAGCTTCAATTTGGAGATGCATGTTGAATTGCCAACACGTCACTCAAAATGGTGTAGTTCGATAACTGATTATGTTTGTTCTAACATGAAAAGTATTAAATGTGACGACATAATGCAGGCCTATCTGATCATGAAGCAGTAATGTTTTATGTACCTCAAATATTTGAAAAAAGTAGTAGAAAAAAGTTTATGGGAAGAATATTTAGTAAAGAAAACTTTGATGAATTCAAGAAACATTGTAATACGTTGGACCAAATTTCATTCAATTCGTTCTAACGTATTCAATAGGAGCTTTTCTCTTAAGCGAATCAAGAATAAATCTAAAAACCTCAGTATCAAAATTTCGGCAAAAAATCTTTGATTCCTACATATGATTGTAAAATGTGGCACTATTGGAACAAAAGAGAAAATGCAAGTCATAAGCAAAAAGAGAGCTGGAAAATTGTCAATAACTGAAGAAGTGGAAAAAACTCTGCTTTTGGGAAAACAAATTTAGAATGCAACGATATCAATAAATTCCTGACCGTGATGGAGAATATCCTAGTCTTCTGGATCTATACCTATCAACCAATCCAGAAATTTACAGTCACCGTAAGGTCTCCATTGGGATCTTCTGACCACAAACTCATTTCAGTGTTGAAATAATTAGCGATAAATGTTGGGGAACAATCTAACCCGCGCAAAGTTTGGCATTACAGATCTGCTGAGTGGGAGGATTTTCAAGACCTTTCCGAAATTTTAACTGGCTAGATGTTTGTTTCAGCTGTAATGATCCATTAACTTATGCTTCTGAAGTCACGGAAGTTATTCTATCATCCATGGATGCATATATTCCTTTTTCAATGAAACAAACTTCTAACGGAAACAAAAATTGTGAACAGCCAATCCCAACGGGTCTAGATCTTTCTGGTCGGAAGCTGAAGCTGTTATTCCACAATTCCATCACTAACATAAGCGGTTGGATCAACAATTGCAATAACAGTCATATCAGCTGAACAATTTGCGTCCCACTTCACAGTCGATTTTCTGGGGAAGGCACCGCACACTACTCCCCCATTAGAATCCACAATGCCGTCTAGTCAGACGAATTTTCAAAAAGCTTAATATCATGGAATATATCATAATATGGAATTGGTCGCGGTGGTAGTTCGCCCGACTCATGATCGGAAGACCGTGGGTTCGATTCCCGCCTTGACCAGATATTTTTCTCAAGAGAATTTATCTGGTTGAAGCTGGGATGATTCTGCAACCGTGTTAGGAATCATACGTTAAAAGGTAAGACCTCGTTAGTCCTTAGCTCGCACAAGTTTTATCAACTTCTGAGAGTTGTCGTTCGTATGGGGGTGACAGCTGATTAACGGAAAAACAAATTTTAAATTTTTTAAACACAGCGTCTGGTCCTGAACAAGTCCCCGTTATAGTACTTAAAAAGTGCGCCAATAAACTCACACCAATATTTTGCATACTTTTCAACCTGTCTTACGAGAAATGGGTTTTTCCTTCTTGTTGGAAGATTGCTCGCGTTCAGCCTATTCCCAAAAAGGGCAAGAAAAATCTTTCAAATTACCATACCAGTCGCTTATTTGCTATCGCAGTGATATCAAAAATAATGGAGAAAGCCGTAAACACCATATCCTTAAATATTTAGAAGGCTTCAACATCTTGAGCAATCATCAATATGGCTTTCGGAAACAAAGATCAACGAGCCAACTTCTATCATATATCACCCATATTTGGAATGACGCAATCGAGAAACATGGCGAGTCAAGAGCTGTTGCGCTTGATATTTCTAAGGCCATTGACCGTGTGTGGCACGAGGGTTTGCTGGCCAAACTTCGATGCTATGGCTTGTCGGATCATTTTTGTGTATGGCTCTCCAGCTTCCTGAAAAAACTTTCACCACAAGTGGATATCCCTCGAATACTTTTACCATCAATGCTGATATTACCAAGGAATTCATATTGTCTCCAATCCTCTTTTTATTGTATATATCAACGACTCATTGGAAAAACGAAGAATCCGATATATTGCTTTGCTGACGACAGCACACTTGTCTCGTCATTCCATTTGGATTCCAGGACATCGGCTGCAGATGTACATCGTGATCGGCAGTGCCAGAAAAACCAGGCATCGGTTTTCTCCAAAAAGATAAATTTCTCCTAACCGGATATTATAATGTCAGAACAGACATTTCCGCTTTCTGCTTCGATACGTTTGTTGGCTGGTGAAATGGACACCAATATGTCTTGGCACAATCATGTCGCTGGAATTGCAAAGGCTGCTTCTCAAAAGCTTGGAACACTGTTCCGAACCAAAAAACTGTACCTACTGCAATTTTTGATGTTTCATAAAGCTCAGATCTGACCATCTTTGGAGTATTGTTCTCATGTATGGAGCTCCGCCCCTAAGCATACTCTGAAGCTGCTGGATTCCATCCAGAAAATAGCCATCCGCCTGATTGGAGATGCAAATATCACTTGCAACCTTGATAGTCTGGAATAATGGCCTTTCTGAATAAGCACAACACTATTATTCTACGCAATTCGAATTTCAAAGTGAAAAAGGAACAAATGATGCAATTTTGCATATATATGTAAGTCAATGTCAAAGTGACTCGTCAAGTTTTTTGCACTCCGGTAAAAACCAATTTTGCTCCGATTCCTGAGTCTGTAGTTCTGCATTTTTCTATTAATAGCACACATCTTTTATGAAAGATTCACTGGTGCTGTCAAAACCTTTGAAAAAATAGAGGAGCAATTAAAATGCAACGTACCTACTACACCTAAACTCTAAGGCCTGCTGTAGAGAAAAATTTTCAGAATAGAAATCTCAGAGATGAAAAGTATCCTTGATCTAGCAGTCATAATGTGCAGATCAAGAAACCACACCAAACTAAAGAACCCTCCACAGAGGAACTATCTTCTACAACTGAACACGATGCAAGTATAAAATGTACGTTTTGTCAATCTTGCAATAAGAAATGCAAAACTACAAAAGGTTTGACAATCCACTCTTCAAAAATTCATAAATCTGAGTCAACAATCTTTTTACCTTCCATCCAATCCTGTGCACCAAGTCCGAATGTTGAATCCAAATATGGTGCAAGTTCTACCAATGCTATCAATAATATACTTTCTCTATTCAAACTCTATTCTCACATATTGAAGAGAATTCCCGAAGGAGCAAGAATGTGTGCCGCAGAAGCTTGAGCAAAGCTATTGATGTATGCATTCAGAGCAATTCGTTAGATCACTGGCAATATTTGCTTTGATTTGCTTACAGATGATTTTGTCTTCCACCAATTAAAGAAAATCGTAAAAAGTCTCTCACTTTACTCATCAAGAATAACATTTCCAATACCTGTCCAGAAAGGTTTAATTCACAAATTCGATGTAAGAAGAAAACACAGTTCTCAAAATCTGTAATAAATAAAGTTCAGGATGGCGATCTCAATTCGGCAAACCGTATTTTGACTTCAACGGAAAGTTTTGCAGATTTTGATGATCTTACGTTAACTGATGAAACTTCAAGCTAAACATCCCGCTGACGTCTGTCAAGAACCTATACCTGACACAAACTGTACTCCACTCCAAGTTGATGAAAAACAGACTTGAAAGCAAGTGGTTCAGCAGGAGGAATAAAACGAAACTGTATAAAAAATCTCTGGTAGGAGAGATAAGACAAATGACAACAAAAGAAGAAAACATTTTTATAAAAAGCATATAATAATAAATAAAATAACTGTAAATGAATGAAGTGTTTCAATTAAACATAAAATCTTCGAAAATGTAAAAAATAACAACTTAAAACTCTTCATCTTCTTCATCGAAATTTTCAAGTTCTTCATATGATACGTCTATCCTTTCAATTGTATTTGGATGTTTATTTCTAACCAGAAATCCGGAAAACAGCTCCGTAAGGTTAATAACTGAATAACCTGAGTGGTTTAAATATTTTTCAACTGTTTCTCGAAGTGAATGATATCCAGATTCCAGGTCAGGGTCCAGTCCTTATGCAAAAAACACAATAATTAGAAAAATGAGAAATGAAACTTTCTATGTATTTTTTTACCATTTTTATTTGTAACTAATGTTACAGCAGTTTCGTTTTATAAGGACATTTTCAAATTAATACAATAAACTGAAAATTAATTGACAATATTAGCCCTTATATATTTAAACACCACTGTCGGTAATAACAGAGGTATTCAACTTGATTGAGTACCTGAATTTTGTTTACCTGTGACAATGTGGGTACGCTAATTTGAAAACCGGTGAGTAAACTATATCGATGTAGTTTACAATTTCATTCCTGACCCCTTTATTTTTATATTCTGGGATGAACTTTGATAATTTCAAACAATTTAGATACCTCCTTCAAAATGAAATTCATTTACAAGAAACAAATTTGGAATGCATAAATATGATATTATCAACAGCATATGACACTATGCTCATCAACACCCGCTGCAGGTTTCAAAGATGTTTTTTGAATCGTGTGTTGTTGAATAAAAGAAAAAATGTTTCTGACCCATAATTAGAAAACGATTTAGATCAAATGGCATGCATAGAACAGCTATCGAGGATTAAAAAACTTTTTCAATGCATCTAAGAAAGGTTATATTAAAATTATTTTTCACAATGGTACAAACACCTCCACTTTTGAGGTATATTCTGCAAAACTTGGTAATTAAAGGATCATTATCAATTTCGATTCTATCTATCTAGTGAGAATTCAGACAATATTCTGAAAAAAAAATCTATTTGCAATGTTGAAGAAGTAATTCTAAGTGAGCAATTCAATATCACGATCCTTGTACCTTGAAACTCATGACAAAAACAGAATTTTCATTATTAAAACTCAAACCAGTAATATTTGGTAAAGAATTGAAGTGAATTAATTTGTTTTTATGTTGAAATTTTCTAGTTGAATCTTTGGGCCATTGATAACATATCTAGAGTTACATGGTTCACATGATTCAACTTTTGTAACCACGTTGAAAGTTTTTTGTTTTGGAAATTAATGAAGAAAAATCTTGTGAAGATATTTTTTATCAAGAGTTCCAAATGAAAAAAATTGGTGTGCATCCTCTCAGTTAATGTATATACAATTGAATATGTCTACCGCAGTACCAGACGAAACGTTTGGTACCCCAATTTCCATTCTAACTCGGCCTACCAGCCTGGATTTCACTATCTTTAAAATGGAGTGAGTTTTTAATCATTTTTTTTTCTGAAAATATGATACCGTTTGTTTGCAGATTTTTAAAATGAAACTGCTAATTACTCAGGAATAGTAGATATGATTTCAAAAAGTGAATTAGATACATAATTAAATTAACTATCAAACAAGGTATCGCAACACCACCATTTCCATTAAAAATGTTGGTAGCTTCCTTTTAGAGACGTGTGATGCAACACTATCATCTTTCTCTTCAAAAAGTACTAAAAATTTTGTCATTTTTCGAGTAAATTATGTCTGAGCTTGATATCTTGTATCATTCAAAATTTAAGAGGAGGAGGTGACTATTTACGTTCACATTGTATAATTTTCGTTTTTAAAAAAAAAAGAGTACCATAAAAACTTAAATCAATATAGTGATGTTTCGAAAAAGTTATTAGTCTTCAACTGCCAAAACCCCTTAGAAATTGTATTTTTATAAAATCATTAAATTTCCAATGACTCACAGTACAAACAATACGACCTGAATGTGAGAAGTAAATGAAACTAATTAACAAATGTTACTCATTCATAATTTCAAATGCACGATTTCACCATTGGGAATAATCTGCTCAAGATTCAGAAAAATATTAATAGTAGTAGTTTGATCGAAATTACAGCCAATGAAAAAAATCATAGACATCAAACGAATAGTCGTAGAACACATTTTATTTGAAATTGTGCAAAAATGATACATAATTTTTTTCGAAGACTTTTAAATGAGAATTATTTTCAAAAACTCACCTTTATTTAGTTTTCCCAAATCAAATATGTGCTGAAAGTAGGTGAGTTGCGTGTAAAGTTGTTGTTCAGTATATGTTCGATACATAACTCCTTTCTGGCAAAGGGTACAGACGGGATATTTCTTAAAAAACTTCAATGGCAGTCGATTTGTTTCGTTCGTACAAGCTGGATCCTCACAAGTAAGTTCATTATCATAATATTTAGTAATGTACAACTGAATAGCCAATGCTAGCTGGTTTTGGATATAAGGTAGGTACTCTACAGGCCTGACTCCGCATTCAGAATTCTTGCATTTTTCCAAGAAACGTATATTGCCATCCAACAGATTATCAACGACATTCTCTTGCTTACAGATGTAACATTTGAACTTAAACTTATCCACATTTCTAAACTTGACTTCAGGCTTAGAAATGTTTTGCCCAATGACTTCCATAGAGTGTTGTTTGGGTTTTTTGAAAGAGTTAGTATCGAGACCAAGACATTCTGCTATTTGGAAAGAATCTGTACCTTCTATCGGTTCACAAATTCTAGTCACCACTGGGTGTATTTGTTGTCCTAAATAATATTTAACATCTATTTTTAACGTTTCAGACTTATTCAGTTCCTCAATATGGTAAGCACGTTGAGAAGCAGAATTAGAAGTGCCATCCTCACATATAACATAAGGAACTGTATCCCCAGCCCTGAAATGACCGCCACTTTGTTGGTTGTATCGTAGTGCTACTTGAACATGAGGCAGTGAATTCTTGTCAGTATACATTTTTGGGTCTTTGGTCAATTGCTTTGTTATAACTAGTAGAGAGATAGGAACTTGACCTTCCTCCATATGTTTCCTTATTTTTCTCAAGTACTCGTGGATATTATTTATTCTATCATCTGGTGACTGATCACTCAAAATGTGGTCCAATATATATTCACCAGCTCCACAGGCTAGCTGTGACCAGTCCCTTCTTACGATGTCTAATCCCTTATATTCCTTCACCTCCTTCAATTTATTGTCGTTTATTTTTGTCAAAGTAACAGCAGCATACTTTTTTTTCTTCAACAACAGAAGGTACTTGAATACTCCATCAATATCAAGTTCCACTTGTTTGTACAATTTATTGACTTCTTGTTTAATTTTTGTTCCAATTTTGAATACCTGATCGTATTCCAAGATGTTTGTGTTTATCATTATACTATCAGTATCACCATAAACTACCTCATAACACATCTTCTCAACCATATCTCGAGTATTTGTGAGAATCTCTCGTCCCTTATGGGTGACCAGTGCTGCTAGATTCTTGGCATAAAACCGTGAATTCGAAAAACCAAGACAACCATACATACTGTTGGCCGTTAATTTGAGCGCTATTTGACGAATATTGTACTGCATTTTCAAATCAAGTGATATGTCAGCACTATTCATCAATTTCTTGACTTGCCTCCGACTTTCTACAAGTTTTCTAATTTCAGTAGGTAATATACCAGGTGGTAACCCTCGATCAGGTAAAACTAGATTATCCTCGCTATTAGTTACTGGCAGAGTGGTGAAGCAAATATTGTACTCCTGGATTATACTTGGATACAAAGAATTAAAATCCATAAGCAAAATGAGCTTATCATAGAAGCCTATCTTGGGTTCCAAAACTAATCCTCCTGAATAAGTTGGCTTCTTTCTTGCTGAACTCGACAGTGTGGTATCTTTTCTCTTATATTCCTTATCAGGAACTATATAATTCTTTTCTGAAAATGCATGTAATAGTAAAAACTCGTTTCGTTCTGATCTACCACCCATCAAAGTCCTCGACATTATATTACCAGCTATGTTTGTGATTTGTAAGGCAAGAGGAATAACATTCAAGTCGTACATCATTTTGAGAATGTACGATGTATCTTGCACTGTAAATGATATCAGTTTCAGTAGATCCTTGGTTGACTGATACATTTTGGGAATGTCTTCAGGTTCTAGTTCAATTCTTTGATTTTCTTTGAGTTTAAGAATGACTTGACAAAGAGCATCTAGGTCGTATGATCGCGATTTTATTAGTTCTTTGGCTGATATTTTGATATCACATACGAGTCTACCAGCAAATAAATGCTTTTCCAGTCTTTTCTTTTCGGATCTTTTTATTCTTCCCAATTTACTGAAAGTTTTGTTGTCCTGTTTTGTAAGACGATCAGCTAAAATATTGATTTGATATCCTTGCAGATCATGCCCTACTATAAGGTCTGGATCGATTTTGGAAAACTGTGTAATGAAATAGTTGAGGAGCGCTCGTTCAGAGTCCATTTTTTGTACTTTCGTTACCCTATAATTTCCCAGAGCCTCATGAATGTTAAGAGGTAGAACTTGCTGTGCAGGACATGAAAAAACTGAAAAAAAGTATATGAAAACAGATAAAATATATTAAGTTTTTAAATAATGTCAGATAGATATTATCTCTATCTGTATCTGTGTCATTCAAACTAAAATAGAATAAGTACATTGGTGTGTAAGGGCAAAATTCAGACACCCCCCAATCAGCTGATACTGCTAACTGCTCTTCCATTCAACCCAAACATGAAATAGCAGAATGAAAGCAAAAAAAGGAAGAAGAAATCTAAAAGTATATTCAAATTACATTTGTAGAAGATAGAATAGATACGATTTTATATCGACATATTTAAATGTACAACTAATAATAACATTGATAAATAATTATTAATTACAAGGTAAATGATAATGAAGAGATCTGAGATATTAATAACAAGACAGGAGTAATAGTACAGATAATTTTATGATTAAAATGATGACTAACATTATCTGATCATATTACTTTAATATATCTTTTTGTCTGTCCATAATATTTTGCATCGCAGTCCTTACATTCAATTTCGTAAATTCCAGACTTTTCCGAATTCTCGACTTTGTCTTTTGGACTTCCCAAAAGGCTCTGTAGTATATGACTTGTTTTAAAAATTACCTTCATACTTAGTTCCTTGAAAATATTTTCAAAGTTCCTCGTATATTGGTGGTATGGAACTGAGATGTATTTATTTTGGTGTAAAATTAATTTAGGTTGGTATACCTGTATGGTTGGTACGCCTGGATGGTTTATCTGTATGGGTTAACTTTATAGCATAAATAGGATTAGCTCGCATTAGTTCTTAGTTTTAATCTTCCTCTTTGAAGATGATCACTTGGTGATCGAAACACGTGTCCAGGTGTCAAAAATAACGATTTGGTATTGGGAAAAAACTCCAGTAATATTCATTACTACACCAAAGGTTCCAAACAGTGCATCATAAGTACATGGTTTGTTAGGCTAGGATAATATACTTCATTTGCAAAGCTGAAGAAACCCAAGTTTCACACAAATTTTTTTTTTGTCTTGACGTCTAGAATTTAAGAAGAATTTGAAATCAGATCAAGGTTGCAATATGCATTTTCGATGCACTTTGTTATATTGCCATTAATCCTCAACTCTGTGCCCATAATTGAAACCGAGTTTTTTTATGAATCTGCAACTTCAATGGGTTCCGATTGTAATACTGATTTGATAGAATTTTGTTGTCTCTGATCACAAAAATTAGTAATTTAGACTTGGAAAAATTGATTACAAATGATTCTCTTTGATATGTTATACAATTTATTAAGGTCTTCATTAACACCAGAGCATGAATCACATACATTTCCAGAATTGAATGATTATTAAAATTTTGTTTCATCTGCATAATATTGGAAATGACAGTGATACAGACAACCAGATAAGTTTGAATGATATATCATAAAGAGTAAGAGTAAAGGTCGCAAAATGGGGCCTTGAAGGGCACCATTCGTGAAACCCAAAGATACAGATTCATCTCCAATATCGAATAGCTGGATTCGATCTACTAGGTAATACTTTATTAAGAGAGTTGGTAAAATCAATGTAGTGTATGATTGCTGGTAGCAGTTAATGACTTTGAGTACATTAGTAGAATAAGGGAAGTGAAACTGTTTTTGAGATTAAAGTTACTGTCTATAACCGAGACTTGTAGTGTGTGTGGTTATGTTAACTATTACACTTTCTTTACTTGTATCGATCTAAAAGTAAGTTTGATTGAACCATTCTTCATAGGAAATATAAACGATTACGGTTTTTCCAGAAACAATCGAATACTTTGTTCAAATGATATATGAACTTTAAGCATTTATCCATTTCATATTTTGATATAGGTTAGGTTAGGTCCAAAGTGAGTGGGTCTATTCGACCCTCCACCGCAACCCGCAAGGGTTTATTGTGGCTCACGCCTATTCACACTCGACCAAATCTTACCGATGCCGATTAGATTGTATGGTAAGTGGTCTTTTAGGTCAGATGGTAAGAGTACGGCAAACTCTAAAAACCTGATTCGGTCCCCAGAGAGGCAGGCACAAAGTATATGCTCTGTTGTTTCATCATTTTCCAAACAGAGGCGACACACACTGTCATTCGACAGTCCGAGTCTCTGCATATGATGATTCAAATGATAGTGACCTGTAAGAAGGCCTGTTAGACATCGTAGTTCATCCCTACTGTAGTCCAACAACTGTTTGCTATCAAACTTCGAAGGGTGAATAAACACTTTGGAGTGAGTCAATCCTGGAAGATTCTGCCAGAAGTCCATTAATCTTCTTGCCATCCAGGTGTGTTTAATCTTTGTTTGGCAAAGCCTAAAGCGATGCCAATGACAGATTCTGGTCCAATGAAGCTGCTTGCAGCATCCTCCTTTGCAAGGGTGTCAGCAGCCTCATTGCCTTCTACGCCAGTATGGCCAGGAATCAAGACCAGAGACAATCTTAAGTTTTCCTATCGAGGAGAGTCGTTTTTGGCAATTTGCTACCAATTTAGACGTTGCTCGGTAGGAGCCAAGAGCTTCCAACACCGCTTGACTGTCAGAGAATATTTTTATTGACTTGTGTATGAGGTTGGATTCTTCCAATCTCTCCGCACACAATTCAATAGCATAAATTTCTGCTTGAAATATAGTCGCATAGGTTCCTAGGCAGGTAGATATCTCTGTTCTGGGTCTGTGACTGAAAACACCTGCACCAGAACCGGAAGGTGTTTTTGATACATCTGTGAACCAACAACTACCTATCTGCTCTTAATATTTCCTTCTCGTGGAGGATCCAGTTCTCTCTTCTCGGGAACAGTACTTTATAAGGCAGTTTGTAGTCTTGGAAAAAAAGTGATGGAAGTAATAACTGCATAGAAATAATCATCATTTTTCATGATGATCTCCTACCATGTAGTAACGGCTACATCCATCAATTGAATTATTTAAGAAATTGCTCTAGCCTGAAGAAATCTGCGAAAAACTTATGCATTTTTATATTCAACCAGGCATCTAATTTTTTCCTTTTGTAGTATTATTGTTTCTGAAAATTTACATCCATAAAAATATATTTACAGTATTTTAAATTTTTCGGAGGAATGAAGATAAATAAAAAACTTCGCGTCCAAGGTTTGCAATTTTATGTTTTTGAATGTTTATGAGGAAATAAATTTATAATGTCTCCAAATGAACATATGCATTATCTTAGGTTGTAAAGAAAATACATTTTTCTCATATTTTTCAAAATTCAGTAAAAAATGACATTTTTCTTGTCCGTTTTGACTAGTTTGACTAGTGACTTCACTAACTGCTGTTCATATTATTTTGACTCTAATTTGAATAATAAATCAATTTCAATTCTGCTAATATGTTTAAAATATGTATTTTCCATTAACCAGCTATCGCACTCCTACGAACGACAACGAGCTAAGGATTAACGAGGTCTTACCTTTTAACGTGTGATTCCTAACACGTACATACATTGTACATTTAATAAAGATCCATATGGCTCTTTACAGCATGTAATTTAAATGAATATTTTTGAAGATATTAGATTAAAAATGCAGGGACATAGTGGTTGCGGGGTTACCAGCCGGGAGACGGCGGCGCGTGCCTATAAATAGCGCGTTAAAGGCCGCGCTTTGCTCTATAGCACTTTACGATTAGCAGAGATCGCTAGTTAATAGTAAAGGAAAGAACAAGGAACATTGGTTGTTAATTTTAAATTATTATTAAAATGTCTTACCACAAAAATGTTGCTGGAATGGAGGATTTGGAGGTTTTTTGTCAACAGCATATTTAGTTTGTGTAAGGCAGGACATCATGAGAATCTCATTGGCATACGTCTTGGGATTCACAAAACTTCTCATATTAATAGCTGCCACCACTAACGGTGGAGGTGGTAATGGTTTATCTGATTCCATTATGTTGAGATCTGTGACTTTTATGCAGTTAACTTCAAACTTGCACCAGCTCAAAGGATTTGAAACAGGCGATGGATTACTGATATCTAACCAACATGGACCCTTGACTTTTCTTTCCAAAAGGAGTATTTCAAGAAAGCTGGAGTTTGTTCCAAATATTTTCGAAATAGTTTGAGGTTTCTTCTTCAGATCTCCTAAATCTATTCTTGCGTCAGTGGCCTGAAAGAAATAGTTATATCCACCATGCCTTCAAAGTTTTTTCCCTTAGCAAAAAATAATATACATAGAGACAATGTAAAAAGAGTTCCCGACAGATATTCAAATAACAATATATTTTCATGAGATAAATGATTGAAAAAAAAAAGTGATATGAGGGATGTTCAAAAACTAATGATGATAATGACCTCAGAGAAAAATCTGTTGTGATGGATATCAAGGAGATCAAGAAAACTAGTGTTCTTCATTTTCTGAAGACTTTGTAGGTGAAATGCTTATTTAGTTGCAGTTCTGGTGTTTATACATTGCTTTCAGAATGATTTTTGTCAGTGCCAAGTGTTATTTAATGAAATTTACTTCCAAAACCTTCTTTAATATCTTGAGATATCCAATGTTCTTTTTGTAAATCAGTATGTCCTTATCAAGAAGTATCTTTCCTTCTAATAGGAAATATATTTATGTTCTGCCAATACTCAAACTCGAATCCAGATACAGAATTTCTCACAAATCATTCATTGGATTGCTGCAATATCAATAATTCCAAAACAATCTGTTTTTCCGTTAACCAGCTGTCGCCCCCTTACAAACGATAACCCTCAGAAGTCGAAACATGTGCGAATTGAGGATCAACAAGGCCTTACTTCTTAACGAATGATGTCTAGCACGGATTGAACGATACGCAGTGAAAATCGATTGTCCGACCGTCGGGCTAGAACCACCGTTCCACAAAGCGATAGATTGAAATAGAAGGAATTGCTCGAACTAACCAACCAGCTGGCCTCCGTCATTCTTGATATTTCCACAGTTATTTATTTACTTAATTGCCTATTTTTACAAAATAATTAACTAATTCACACTTGCGTACTACAACTATCGGCTAGATGTAAAGAAAAAATATTTTAAAATTAAGAAAGGCAAAAATAAGCTGATCAATCACAATCTTTTCATAAAGAGTTCAGACAAGTTAAACAAAATCAAATCGAGTTTTTATGTTTCATATGTCACATATCCTTTCAGAAACATCTAGAGGCGCCATATCAGGTGATACAGTGAGCCATTTCAAGTAACGTCTGCTTTGCCTACCAGTTAGGATAATTGACAAACCCACATGAGTTTTCAAGTGATGTTATGTTCTAGCAAGATGAGCTACCTTTGTTTGAAGGTGATTGACAATGTTTCATGATGAATTTCACTAGTTCGGACTTCCATTGTCTACTATATAAATTGATTTGAAATCCCTGAAACAAGTAAAAAAGAAGAATTGAAAATGAATAGCTGAAAATAACAATTATATTAACCAAAATAAACCTGAAATGAAATAATAGTGAAATAAAATACAAGTAAAAATAGAACAATTGAATAAATAAAAATAAAGAAATGANCTCAATATTTTATGCTTTAAGAAGGTAACAAGTGTATTTCAAATAGCTTTGTAGAAATGGATCTTACCCAGTTGCCATTACTATACGACAAATTACTGACTAATTGGACTTTTCAGTAGTTTATATTATGCAGTAACTTTTTGGGGTGAACTTTTCTGTTTGCCCTTTACTACACTTCAGCAGATTCTCTATTGATTTAGCTTTCATTTTTTCAGATTGATTGTGGGAGATAATAAACTCCAAAAAAAAAACAGTATACAAAAATTATCCAAACTGACGAAATGGTTAAGGCTTTCGTGGTCGAGGTATTTTTATTTTTGTTTGAAGGCCGTCGATTTTTGGAATTTCCTCCTGACATTTCGCCGGCGAGAGTGGCTAGCTTCTTCGGAGGTCCATACGTTTTGAGTTTAACTCCAATGACTGGGTATTATGACTGCGTAAAGCGTGTGTATGTTGATTCAAGTAATTTGATGTGCTTATACCTGTGCCTGGATTAGGTGAATTATCAATAACATTCGTTGTACTTTTTTTTCTGTGTAGTGGTATATACTTATCAATAGAGGCATTTGGCAATGATAACGCACTGTTTGACGTTGGTTGGCGAATTATAGTTACGGAGATTTTAGCCTTGAAGATGAGGCCCAAAGTGGTCGACCTACCGTAATCCCACCAAAAAAAGACCATGGTTACTGTATGCTGAACAGCGACTGGTGTGAATCAATATTTCGGGCCAAACCATCACAGCATAGTCCTATTGTGAGGAAGTCGACGAAATATACCGAAAATTGCATCAGCAGCAGCGCCGGCACTGGTCAGCGGAAGAGGTACGATCCTGATCCACGCCCTTCCGCGAATTTCACAAATAACTGTTCGGAAATTAAACGAATTGAGCGTCGAAGTTCTGCCTCACCCACCATACTCCCCAGACCTCTCGCCAACCGACTACCATCTTTTCAAGTACTTCGATTACATTTATCGCCAGTAGAACCTTCGCAAATCAGAAGCAGGAAAAAACGTCCATCGTCGAGTTCATCGGATCCCAAGCACATAATTTTTATGCAAACGGAGTTAATCGACTTGTGTTATGTTGGCAAAACTGCACTGGTTCAAATGATGCTCATTTCGATCAAATTGAATAAGTATTCATTGAGATATTACAGTTTGAAGTAGACTCATAAAAACACACACAACTTTTAAAACAACCTAATATAACTGCTGAAGGGCTGAACCAATTTCCGATAGTAAAACAGTGTTGGATCGAGAATCAAATTACCTACTGAATGAGGTAAAAAGTAGTGAAAGCCTTTTTAAGTAAATTTTATCCGACTATAATATCTTGTTCTGTTCGAAAATTAAGATAGGGGGTATTGACGACCGCACTGTATGTACCAATACAACCATAGTAACATATAAAAATCGAAAATTTATAAAATCTGATATCTTCTAATTTATGTTATAGAAGCTCCAAACCTGTTTATTCAAAGCAATAGACATGAAACTTTTAACCTCTGAATCTTCACTCACTCAAGTAGTCAATTAGCTGAATTTATAAGTTAGAAATTCAATTAAAGTTAAGTTCCCCTTGCTCAGCATTGAGCTTTAATCTTCCAATATAAAAACTGTAAGCTGGCTTTTAGATCTCAAACTAGGAAATACTAAATTTTAAATAATGAACTAAGAATTAATGAAATCTGATTACGGCAATTTATCAACTAACAAAAATACTTTTCCTACACACTATAACTGACTGAAGCTAGTTTCACCAACTACATTGGTTTTACCAGGAGGTGACTTAAACTGAAACAGTTATCACTAGACATCGGATTATACGCAATTGCATGTCTGCATATGCAAATGCATACAATTCTATTTTCAAATCGTTTTTGCATATTTTGGTACTTTTTCATTGACAGTGCTTATTTCAGTAATTATACTTGTTAGGCATGTTGTACAAGCGGTCAACACGTCCGCGATTTAAATGTCTCATTTGATAAAAATTGGTTATTTTTTCATGATTTCACTTTATTTATTCTTGTTGACTACACATATTAAGTAGCCGCGGTTAATTCACCTTTGAAATGCAAAAAATATTTCATCTTCATATTCGGATACTACAAACAAAATAAAATTCAACAAAAATGTATGTGAGTTTCTACCAATTAAATAACGAAGTATGCCGAAAATTTCTTAAGAAGTATCGCACTAATCAGATAATTCCTGAAGAATCCACAACTCGAAAAATCTACCTGTCAACTATCTACGAAGTAGTACACGCCGTACTCTCGAACGATCTAATATGGATGAAATACTGATGAAACAACAGATTCATGTGGACAATACATAGCGAATCTAATTGTTGGAAAATTTTCTAAAGAGCCTTCTACCCCCCACTTGGTTGCTTGCAAGGTCCTTGAAAAAACAAACCATTCAACTATCGCCTCACAAATGATTCCATCAGATCACTATTTCCCTATTCTTCAAGCTCTAAAAGTATTCTACCCAAAATTTCTTTACATCACCTGTCTAGCCCATCTAGCCCACAGATTACATCGAATTGCGAAAGAGATCAGAAACGAGTTCTGGATAGTCAATACATTGATTTCTTCTACAAAAAAGGTGTTTTTGAAAGCACCATCGCGAGTACACGCATATAAAGAGTAACTACCAAAAGTAGCAGTACTTCCAGAATCGATATTAACATGTTGAGGAACTTGGTTGAAAGCCGTTTTGTTTCATGATGAGAATTTCTAACACATAAAAAAGTAGTTGAAAAATTTGCCAGATGCCATTGCAATCAATTCAAGCCAGTCCTTCCGAGTTCACATCGCATAAAATTTGTGGCAAATCAAATGCAGTTTTATATAAAAACAAAAGGAATAAAGAAATATGACACATTCATTGAAGGCACTGGACAAACCCTGACTGAAGAGGTCTCTGCAGAAATGGCGACAAATTTTAAGTTACGGGAACGTCAGTTGACGTAGAAAGGTCATTTTCAGCTTATAANCTTCAAAACAACATTATTCAATTACCTTAATGAAAATACTTTTTATACAATAGAGGAGTACCTCACTGTTTGATGCACTGTCTGTGAGTTTTTCATATTTTCTTGTGAGCTCTATAATGTTTTTATAAGTTGTAATACTATAATATGTTTTGACTAGTCTGATAAGTTTTGTACCATTGTGTAAAAAACTTCAATGATGAATAAATTATCTGTATCTGTGAAGAGATTACAGAATAAATTCTTACCGGGTATCGGAGTTCCATGTATTCAGATTCGGTTGGTATTTCAGGATTGAAGGCATATTTTTTCTTGATAGATCTTGTTTTGAAAAAACTGATATGCAATGGCTTTATTATTTTTTCATTCAATTCATTGTACATTTTCTTAAAGGTAACTGGTTCTTCTGTAGGTGTCCCATCTTCTCCAAGTTCCTTAAATAATTCTGAATTGGTTATGTTTCAAAAAATGCTTCCTAACTTACAAATGGCCTTGGTAAAAGAAAAACTCTTCTACTAATGTTTCTAACAGCCACACAGCAGCTCACAAAACTTTTAGTCTTATCACAGTATGTTTTTCCAAACAGAAATACCACCCCCCTTTGTTTTTCAGGATCTTCATAAGCGTCCCACCAATAAAACCGGAATACCTTAAAACCAATTTCAACAAAAATAAAAATTATGAAACAAAAACGACCTGAAAGTAAGAATTTAGACAATTCAATCATTGTTATTCAGTGCTGAAATTAAAAAAAAATGAATTCAGTTGTCAACTAATATAAATACTACCATTGAGGAGTATTATTTACCTTTTTATTATCAACTTCAACAAGAGGTATGTCAGATCTATCCACTAACTTGTCCATATCAATATCATCTAATTCGTTTGTGAAATTTTCCCATTCACTCATAAATTCTGCTTGTAACTCATCTGAAATTTTTTCTTCATCGACTGAAATATCAGGAAGTTGCTGAGACTCAAATTCTTCTATTTGTGTCATATCGATGTCATCTTCAAAACACTCTTGGGTAAAATCATCCTCGATAGTCAAGTTTTCACTTAATTCAACAGGCTGTTCTTCCTCCTCAGTAATTCGTAAAGAGTTTTCTTCTACAATATCAACTTGTGGAAATTCAGCAATTTCATTCAAGTCGTCATTTTCTATTACTTTGTTTTGTACCTCTTTCAATATGTTACCAGTAGCTTCTTTTTTCAATATGTCACTTATGGGTCGAGTAATAGAAATATTTTTGTTTGGAACACTCAAGTTCTTCATATAATTCTTAGCAGCAAGTTTTCGAGACATAACCGAGTATTCTTTAATTTTTGGTTTTGGGATACTAGCAGAAGTTTCATCAATTTCACCTAAGATTTCAGACAGCATTTCATCGTCATCAAGTTTGGTTTCCTGAAAATGTCATTTCATACATTATCTATAAAAGGGTTTCAGTTTACATTTTAGCACACCTCTTTCTTTTTGGTTGGCATACTTGAAAGCATTTGTTGCAAATTTCCTCTTCCGGCATTTTCCGAGACATTTTTTTTCTTTCTTTTGACACCTTTTCCTCTTGCACTTGCTTGAGCAATAGATTCGGAGTCCAAATCATCATCAAATATATCTCTACCATCTTCCAAGTACCCACTACCATCTAAAAAGTTATTTGATGATCTATAAAGCTACCAAAAACACTTTTTCTTTCAGAATTATTTCAAATAACACTAAAGTAAACATGATGATTCCACGGGAAGTGAACAGAGTCGTACTTGACCCTTGTAAGATTTTCAACAATATATAATTTTTATTAAGTACTATTGAAACTTTTAATGTGTACACTCTTGTATTTAGTTTACTACAGAATGCCTTTGTACGATTGAGCCAGTTCAACAATTCGATGATGTGAAATCTCAAAAGTTTGGTATCAAAATATGACTTCTCAAGAGAGACAAGCAGAAAAAAATTGATCCACCTATTTTTTGAAGTAAACATTCTTTCCGGGTGTGACCCAGTTCTTTCCTTCATTAATGTCCTAACAATTTCTTTCTTGATGGATGGATACATAATTCAGATATTGATACTTGTGAGTTGGTTTTTGCACACATATATTTTTATTTATTTATTTATTCTGTATAAATGGGAACACTTCGAGTTACAATATTGTGAAAATATACATGTAACACGAGCCAGTATCTAAATGATGAATTCAACCACCATAACTCACTGATCGTGATTTCGTTATTTGTTATACAAAGGAATGTCAGAAGAGCCCCCTCACTTCCCCTCTATAAATATAACTGACAGATAGCATACGGACTCGTTTTTCAGGTACTTTCTGAACACATTGCAAAATGGACCAAAAAGTTTGAAGTTCGTTAACGGCAAATGAAAAAGTCATGATGACATGAACATGATGACTGCCTACATGAAAAAAAATCAAGTCAGAACTAGACAAACTGAGGAAGTTCAAGTAAAATCCAAAGAACGGAGAAAATGGAAAAAGGCGTAGAGGTGAGATCAAATAAGCCGCCTTTAGAAAAAGAAACCAATGGTTTTTCCACTGTCAAGAATACCGGCAAGCCAAACCGCCGCACAAGAAGGACCTTGCGCTAGCCGGGAAGGTTCAAACAGCCGCTGGAGCAGTGGTCGAGCAGCAAGGGAAGGACGGTTGTGCAAATGCAGACATGGATATTGTGTGCTAAGAACTGCAGGAGGATGGTAGCGGTCCCAAAAAAGAACACAAACAAGACCCTAGCATCGGTAGTACCAAACTGAATGGAAGTTTTAGTTAAATTTAGTTAAGATGGTTCACACGTTAACTGCCCTCTTATAAAAATATAAAAAATGTTAATGACAGAACAACGGATTCCGGAAAGTCTAGTATAACGATGTTGGAATGTCAACGACATTACAAACTTCAAGGACGGTTGATGGAGCCGCTATCGCGTCATCCCATCGACGTCATGGCAATCCTTGAAGTCGAACTGAGAACCGCGCAAGATTTACTCATCCGGGATTTCAATAACTACAAGGTCGCTAAGCCAGGTTAAGTAGCTATAGGAGGCGCTGCTAGTGACCTGATAGAACACAAAGACCAAAAACCGGAACTCCAACTAGGCGGAGCAGTCACCGTTACGTTAACGTAGAGGGTCAAGAACAGCTTAGGATTTCCTTGGTGTACCTCCGATTGTAGTGAAACTTGCAGTGAACCGACAGCAGAAATGTTCTGAAACCACACTCAACAAAATTATATGTATTTATAGAGAGTCAGGCAGAGCTTCTAGAAGACTTCGATGACACTGTGGTAATCTCCCTTTGTCAAATTGAAGTAAATACAGGGTAATGATACAAATAACGAATACTAATGAATCAGTTAAAGTTTAATAATCACCATCAAGACATAAAACCTGAGATTAACTGGTGATGGATGAATGAATCTTTATCGAATAGGAAACGTATCCTAATATACATAAAACTGAAAAAAGTCAATAACAAAAGAAGATATTATTAACGTGTACATAGGTCCGTAAACACAAATCGATATATAATGATAATACTGAATCAAATATTAGTGATTAGAATGGAATATTTNGTTTCGATCTTTTTGGTCTACGTTCTTCAGCTGAAACAAGTAAAGAATTTTATATGTTACAGTCGTTCATATCACTTAGACCTCACATGAATCTTCCATATTTTATTTTCATCAAAGTAATGTATGTTGAAAAGTTTTCTATGGTTAAATATATAACAACTAAACAAACACAATACAGATCAAAATAGCGGCAAAAATTGACACATTCGTAACCTGAAATTTAAAGTCTTCTTCTTATTGTTTCGATATTATTAACACATTAACTGTAACTACAGTGTCTAATTCACCTATTAAAAATTAGAATATTTTCCACAATTATAATTTAATTCCACATTCATTTCATTATTTTCATTAATTAGTTATTTAATTATCGTTTTTCGGTTGGTATTTTTCCTATCCATTACTAAATGGATTACAAAAGTTATATAATTTTTTTATAGCCTCAAAAGTATTATCGATAATAATACTTTTTTATGTTCATCAGGAAAATAACACGATATAATGGGCAAGTAAATATCAATTATCTTTTAAAAACTTCCATAAAGGGAAATTAATCATTGAATCCACGTGAGGAATTTGAGTTGATTTTGAGCGAAATTCGACATGTAATGATGATTCTGAGAACAAAAATGAATTCAGTTGCTAAGCAGCGATTTAATGTAAACTTAGTGCCTCTGTGAATGGAATACTGATGTTTATTAGATTTTTTCAAGAGTGCCGTAGATCGAGGGTTTTTTAAAAATGTTTTGAAAACGGAAGGTGTTCAACTGATTTCATCAGGAACTAGGGTCTTTTTACTTCTTGACCGCTAACTTGCGGCAATGATCCTGTCGCGCAATGGCACAGTATTCAGAATACCATTGTTGTAAGGTAGCGATGCATAGGCATGCCAAGTAAAACAAAGAATTATCAAAATGACATTTAATAGCTTTATTGTTAGAAATATTACATTTGTCCTATCGAAAACACTTTTCCTTACTAGAACAAAAATGTTGTCTATTGACATGCGTTTCGATAACTAAGTGAGCATTATATCAAGAGATGATGCTTTCCTTATCTCGTCTCCTGATGATGCTACTCATCAAACAAATTCATCGATTTAACAAAAATTATTTCAAAATTCACCTAGTGAAAGTATCCTCCAAGAAGATAATTTGTTATTTGGAAGATAATACTAGACCGAGAGTCGAAGGCGAAATAGTTTTTAGAGTTAAACCATGTAATAATTATAACAGATTATCCTACCAATTCTCCATTGAAATTAATTAAGGCTTTCGCGGCCAAGATTTTCAGTGTTACGATCTTCGTTCGGTTTTGAAGGCCGTCGTGGTTTGGAACTGTTTCCTAATGTTTTGCCAGCACGAGATACTGAAGATTTTACTATTTTCTGACAAGAATATATAATTCCATATGTTTTCTCAATAGTATGGTTATAAAACCATATTTGTATTTCCTTAGGTTAGCCACAATGATCATTAGCAAAAATTCCATATAAAACGTAATTTTTAGTAATCTCTGCTTCATGCCTCGAAATCCTCACATTTGAATCAGTACTAACAAAATATTCACATGAGTATAGAATTCTCACAATGTGAAGGATTCCTCACACCAGGCTTATCTATGCATCCTGATAATGATGAAAATATTTTTAAGCCTACTTGGAAAGAAGCAAATACATTCTCTTATAAGGGAGAGCGAAACTACAAATATATAATTATTACTGTGAATTTCTACTCAGACCTGGAAACCCAAGGTTAAAACGAGTTCAAAGTAAATTGTGGAAAATATAATTTTTATTGCCTTTCTGCGATAATAAATGGTTGTGCGAACATAATAACGGAACATATCAACATCAGAGTTGATCTTAGCGACAACACCGTATAGCGTCACGAATGTCGTTATGCGTTTTTCTGGCGCCAAAACCTCAAAATACAGTAGATAGAAACAGAAACTAGAACCACAGCTTAAGTATTTTTTCATTGACAATTTTGAATTGTAATTTATTCTGTAAAGTTTATTTGAGACCTCGAAATGGCTAAACGTGATTATGAAAAAGACAAAGGTAGTATTTCAATCAAAACCATAACCGGTAAAATAATTATTTTTTTGCAGAACAACTTAAAATGTTTCTTATGGAATATTGCACACAAGATGCTTCAGGGAAAAAAACATTTAAATATTGCAATCAACTAACAAAATTGGCACATCGGGAGCAAGTGGCAATGTGGGTAGAGCTAGATGACTTATGCGAATTCAATGAAGATATAGTTGATGCAGTTAGATCAAACACAAGACGATATAACAATCTGTTGTCTGATATTGTTTTTGAAATTCTACCAACTTTTGTTCAAAAAGATTTTGTGGCCAAAGATGTTCTAGACGTTTATATTGAACATCGTTTAATGATGGAGAATCGAATGAGACAGCCAAATGAACATAGGGATGCTCGTAATAAATTTCCATCTGAATTGATTCGTAGATAGTAAGTATCCATCTCATGAATTTCAATTGATTATATGTGAGCAGTTTACAGTCATTGAAAGTCTTGAAGACAATGCTTCAAACAAGACGGTCAGTTGCAAAATCAAGCTTTGACAGAGGTTGAATCTCATTTACAGACAATAGACAATTATTCATTTTGTTCATTCAGGTCTTTGTGATATAAACAACAGTGTACCAAAAGCAAATGAATTCTTAGAATCACAGTTGTTATAGTGACTTATGTTGCTATGATATAAATCAAAAATAGCAAGGGACTCAACACACTTCCCTGAGGTATTATAAATTTTGTATCAGTGGGTTTTCAATTTATATTTTGAACTTTGGTGACTTGCTTTCAGTTTTTTAAAATCTTTGAGCCATTTCAGAGCAGTTCCTTTGATACAAAGTGCTTTCAATTTTTCAATTAATATTTAAGTGTAAGAAAATAGTGACTACATATTCCCCATTAAAATTCCTCCATTTGCTAATGGTTAGTTTTAGGACTTCAGAACTTAACCATTCATTAAACTATAACACAATCCCACTTTGACTATTTTTCTAGTGTGCTTGTATTGCTTGATAGAAATTGTATTTTGGATCTACAGAAATTACAAAACAGAAGAATGCAAGTGAGGTGCAATAGATACACTTGTATAAGGTAAATGCTAACTTTGGTTTGGCTCACTGTTGAGGACAACATATTATTTTCATTGATTTTCATCCACTAAATTTCTGGTGAAGCTTACAATTATTGTTACAAATTTATTATATTCCACGACCAAATTGATCAATATGCAAGTAAAGATAATGACAATCTGTATCTTACACGAACAAATTATACCAGGAACCTTTAATACCAGTGGATATGCATTTATGAATGTCATTGATACAACACTCAGCGCCCAATCCAGCTATTTCGCTGCTCTGGGCAAAATAATATTTGCCGCCTTTTACCCATGCGTTATTCCATAGATGGTATAATTTTAACCTATTTTTGCCGCCCCTAATTTGTGCCGCCCCGGGCAATTGCCCGGTTTGCCCCCCCCTAGATCGGTCGCTGACTACACTTTCAATAGGTAATTTTCCTGATGAATTATGAATGAGTACAGTGATTTTTATCCCTGAAAGTAATTAACAATTCAACAGAAGTAACCGAATTCAAAGAAGTAAATACACTGCTTTCTATTGAAAAGGTTGAATAGAACTGGCCAATACTTGATGAAAATCCATATTTAAAAAACTAATCAATAGAGTTTATTCTATAATTTTCACTGTAAGGGTTTTACAAAAACCGCGACACGTGTTTCTCTATACAATAGCTTCTTCAAGCATAACTGAGAGTTACTTCTGAATTACAACCTTATATACTACAACCTAGTACCTATTCGTCTACCTGAGCAATAAATCTACCTGACAAAATATACCTGAAAATATACCAATGGAAGAACCAAAATGGATACATTTTGTTTTATTCAAGTTAACAATCAGATTGTTTAACTTGCACCAATCTAAGAAGTGTGTTATAAACCTTTCTATTGATGACTTTAATTCCTCTAGGCTGTGTGCTGAGACCGCTTACGAGGTATCGTCAGCAAAGAGAGTGAGACTATTGTTGTTGATGTTGAAGTATTTGGGTAGATCATTGATGAATAATAGAAAGATAAGCGGTCCCAAGACAGAGCCTTGAGGAACTCCTGAACTGATTGGTTGAGGATCAGATAGTGTATCTTTTATTTTTACCAACATTGTACGGTCTGAAAGAAAATGTTTGAGCCATTACTCTACCCATTTCCTTGTTAACTAGGTTCCAGACTGTTTTGTTTTTATTGTTCGAGTTCTTTATTAGATTTGCATGAAAATCCAATTTAGCTTTCTCGAGTAGTAATTCGTAGTCTTTCTTTGCTCTTTTATATGCAGCGTGCGAGTCTAAGTTGGCTATGTTTTTGAACAACCAATGGGTATTTTTTAGATTAAGGCTAGCTTGTAAGATTCAATAGAATCTTATGAATTCCCTTTTTGAATTCACCAAGTTTATTCATTTGTTTGATGCTGGTGGGGAGTTTGTTGAACAATTTCATGCTTTGATAGAACGGGCTCCTTTCTTCAACAGTTTTGGGTATACATAGTCAAAATTTCCAGAATATAGACTATTCTCAAAAAGATGTTTGTTTCTAAAAAGGAATAACAAGAATTCCTGTATATAGACTCCTATAAGTGTAAGTATTTTGAGACTACTGAATTTGCTTCCACATGATTATCTTGAGTTCAGTTTCAACATAGTTCTTAAGGCTCTTTCTTGTACAATAAAAATTTGCTCTGCATTTCTACTACCTCCATAAAAAATGATTCCATACCTTCAAACAGATTCAAAATTTGAATGATGTACCATTCAGATTACATCTGCGTCAACATACTGACCAATAACTCTCATTGAATACAACAGTGAGTTCAACTTTTGACAAACATTTTGAATATGACTGTTGAAACTCAGTATGCTGTCTATGTGCAGTCCTAAGAATTTGCACTCATTTTCTATTTTGAGTGAAATATGTGTCAGCCGAATTTCTTGAGGTAAGTCAAATCCTGCATGGTTTGTTTTGAACATTACAGTTTTGGTCTTATTGTCACTCAATATAAGTTTGTTTCTCCTGAACCACTCATCTGCCTTACAGAGGCTTTCTTCAGTTATGGATATCAGATGAGATAGTCTACTGCATTAACCAGCAAATTTGTGTCATCTGCATAATTTGTCATTTTGCAATTTTCCCCACAAATCTCCTCCAGGTTATTTATAAAAACGATAAACATTGGGCCAATTATACTACCTTGTGGCACCCCATTATTAAATTATTTTATGCCTGATTCAGCTTTGATTCCTTTCTTGTTAATTAACATTTGTTTTCTACCCGATATATAAGATTCAATCCATATCAGCGTAGGGCCACGTATGCCATATGATTCCAGCTTTTGTAGAAGAACTATGTGGTTCAAACAATCAAAAGCTTTTGACAGGTCTAGAAATAATCCCAATGCCAAACTATTGTTCTCAAGTTGTAACAAGATATTTTGAATGAACTGAAAAATTGCTATATGTGTTATTTTCCTTTCTAATAATTGTTGATGTACAATAATTTCTAATACCTTTTCAATATAAAAAAAACTAATCAATAAAGTTTATTCTATGATTTTCACCGCGACACGTGTTTCGCTATACAATAGCTTCTTGCATAACAGAGTTACTTCTAAATTACAACCTTATATACTATAACCTAGTACCTATTCGTCTACCTAAGTAATACATCTACCTGACAAAATATAGGTACCTGAAAAAGTCAGGTATCAATACATTTTTCGAAAGTCTACCTGTAAATATACCTAACTATTATTACTGCCTGTGAACAGATTCAATAAAGGTGAATTATTCAATTCAGTTTGATCGTTCATAGGATGGTGAGAGTTTTTGAATTTGTTTATTTCCATACTCTCCAACAGGTTAAGTTTTAAAAAATGGTCATGATTTTGAGATCAATAAATTTTTGTCTGACATCGGCATGATACCCCACGTTGGAAAGTACACGCATTGCTCTTCTCTGAATGTCAAATACTCTGGATGCATGTGGGGAGTGTCCCCATACTATTATCGCGTACATACAAACTGATTCAATGAGTGCTTGGAAAGTCATCACACAAACTTTCTGATCCACTACTGATCTAAGATTTTTTAGAAGGTAAATGCTTTTATTAACTTTGCTGGCTATATAGTTTACATGACAGTCAAACTTCAGTGTGGGGTCCAAGTATACTCCCAAAAACTTTACTGATTCTGTCAGTGTTTGCCTTGCGTTTTGCCTTATCAATAGCTTGCCTGTATTTGTGAGTTTTGATTTTTAGTGCGAGTTCATCACACTTGAAAACAGCATATAAGTCGCTGAGCCTACATCTCATCCCTCATTTTTCTTATATCATCAGTAAACTACTTGACTGAAGTTGAATTTTTTATTATAGATCTTATATGCATAACAAGACTAGTTTTTGGGAAAGTTTTTGACTTTCTACTACTCCATCTTGATACAAAATAATGTGGGAATCTTTCTTTGGAAGATTAATTGTTTTCACATCTTTAATGTCGTGTATGTTCTGTTTGAAAATCTGTTTTTCCTTTAACCAGCTGTTGCCCCCCTACGAACGACAACTCTCAAAAGTCAAAACGTGTGATCCCTAACACGGGTTGAACAATAGGAAGTGAAAATCGATTGTCCGGCCTGGTGGCTTGAACCACCGGTTCACATAAGAGTGAGTGGAGCAAATCATCCACGTCAACCTACCAGGCTACCATGTGATTAGGTACAGTAGAAGTCCATTAGTCCGGCATCCAACAGTCCGGAATGCCCGATAGTCCGGCATCGCTCAGGAAAATTCTAAAAATTTTGTTTTTCTCTAAAAGTGTGTCTTTAAAGCAAATAAAAACGCTCGAGAGCTATTCGGAAGTTTTCGGGGTAGTTCAGGATCATCCGGAAGCGCTCGGTATTGTTCGGAAACAACAGCTGTCACAACAAATACAGGTGAAGTGCAGCACAGTTAATCAATCACGAAGTGTCTTCATCATTGTATGAAATGTAAAATAAACTTGGCCTACTGTATTTGTAGTTCAATTATTAACCTAATCGTTCTTGTAATTACGATTTATGTATGTATGTAGTTAAAAAAACAAAGTACATTTGTTTTACGGCAAAGCCGACACTAAAAGGAAGTGGCATAGCCCAACAGACCAGGATTTTCGGTAGTCCGGCACCGAGCCGGTCCTGAACGTGCCGTATTATTGGACTTCTGCTGTATTTCATTG